CTCTCTCTCTCTCTCTCTCTCTCTCTCTCTCTCTCTCTCTCTCTCTCTCTCTCTCTCTCTCTCTCTCTCTCTCTCTCTCTTTCCGACCCTTTGGTGCATTTGGTACCGTAGCTTCGACAACGTTTCGTCCCTCCCCCGGGGGAACAGCCTGTGTTTAAATTACCGCGGCCGCTGAGTTTCAGTTACGCTCTCGTTATAAGGCTTTTTCCGAGCGCGGAGCAACGAACTGACCGGTGCTTTCCGTCAGAGACCTCGGGAACACAAGCGGCGTGAGACGGCCTATTTTCGAGGGTGAACGTGCGATTTTTAAATTGAGCCGTAGAAAATTTCAGGCGACACACACGTTTCCTGGCACGCATACGCGCGCTACTTTTACTTTCCGGTGCTTTCAACGGGGACGTGTCGGACTGCGAAGTGCATCGACCGAATAACTCTTTGACACGATGTGACACAATATTTTGTCGCTTCTCGATGTGACTCTGTGAAGCCGAGCGGGACATTTAAATGCAATCGAAATTCAAAGTGCGAGCACTCTTTGTCCATTTCTAACATTTCCCGTCTATTCGGCCCTTCAGGCCATCGTTATTTTAACGACGATACAAAACAAAAAAAGAAACAGAAACGCGTTCAATCGTATACGGTATAAAAATTATTATATATATGATTGCAAGTTTAATAAATAAATTTAACTTAATAAATATGTTTGTATATAAATTATACATTATACCTATAAAATAATTTTATATATCTGTATAGTCACACGTATAGTCATACATAATTACGTACATTTAGAAAATCTTTTTGACGATCAATTTTATTAGAACAAAATTCTTCATCAGAAACATTTTTTTAAAACTATTTTACGAAGAAAACAATTTTACTCGAATCGATGCCTAGACTTTTATTATGCATGAAAATATTTTCTTTTTTTTCTATTCAATAACATTTTTTCCCATAAGAATATGTATAACTGAATATGTATGAGAATATAATATAAATATATATGAGATATACAGACAACATTTATATATAGGTTATAATTGCATATAATTTATACAGGATGTTCAGCGTAACGGTCAGCATTTTTTAAATACTTTAAAATGGTTTAAGGAAACGATTGCAAGATAAATTTTCAACTATTTCATGCAAGCTATAACTTGCGAAAAAGATAAAAAATTTTTTTCATAAAGAAATCAAGGTTATTTTGAATTTTTCAAATGACACTATGTACTTTTTTTATGTAATATTATAGAAGTCTTTAAGAAGAATTCACGCACTATCACAAATGTCACTTTTATTAATAACAATAGCAAAACAATAAAAAAACTTCAACTTATTTAAGCAAATGTTCACATTGCTTTCCTTCTTAGGCAACACAAAATTCTGCACTCTCTTTAACAAATTACTGTACGTAACAGCTATTATGCTATTTGGATCTAAATTTGCACAAGCTGTAATTATCTTTTCTCGAAGATCTTGGACATTATTAATCGGTATTTGATACACAAAAGCTTTCAAATATCCTCATAAGAAAAATCCATCCATCCAAAAATTTCCTGAAAATAGCAATGAGATCCGCGTTTTGCTTACAAATATTACTATTTAAAATAATGCTGCATATTTGATATCAAATATTACTAAAAGTAACATTTGTGAGATAGTACGTTGAATTAATTTAAAACATTCGGGGTGACCTCGATTTCTTTATAAAAAATTTTTTTATTTTTTGTTATTGCAAATTGTAGCTTGCGAAGTAGTTGCAAATTTACTTTGCAACCTTCTCCTTAAATCGTCGCAAGTATCTAAAAAGTGCCAACCCAGCGTTACGCTGAACATTGTATGTAAAATTATGTACAATTTTACATAATTTTATATAATTATACATATTCCTTTTTGCTTGAGTACTTTTATTACATTATTGACATCATAGAACATGATCATTCACTTCGATTGTACTTACACACCGTTTTCTTTCAGTATGGATATGCATAATTATATGACTCTGTATGACTATACAGAGACGAAATTCACTGATAATAATTTTCTTCCCGGGCATTAAATCATATTTTTATCGAAAATTATTTGTAATTGCCGTTCATTCTCATACACGCGAAAGAGATCAAAGTTGCAATAGCGATAAAACGTTATAAAAAAGTCACTTTTACCGAACGCAACGATTAAATTAATTAACTCCCGGAGAGTGGCACATAAGCGGATATTTAGGAGCACAAATTTTAATCGCGTATCTGCTATTCCCGCTCAAAGTGCAGCCTATTTAATTCACGGCCCATCCTCTGTGTGACGCAACAACTTGCAGCGGGCAATGCAATTACGGCAATTACAACATTTTTCCGCATTTTCGCCATTAACCGCCGACGACACGTGATTTCATCTGTCTGAGGGGGACGCGCGTCGGTTGTGGCGCGTCTCGAGTATCTCGATCCCCAAGTTAGTTCGACTTGTCTTCCAAGTCGCGGCTCGGATTCCCCAGCGAACGGCGGGCAAGCTGTCGTCGACGGGGCTGCGCACTGCCGACGCAGCCTCTCGCGACTTGGAAAGAGGAGCGAACTATCGGCCGGATTGCGCCTCCGATTCCGTGGCATTCAACGAGCGAACGAACGAATCGGGAACGAAAACCGGATGCCGATGCCGAATCATAATCACGAGAATGTCGGCCAAGCATCGAAATTAAATTCCGAGCTCGCGCTAATTGCGGGGGACGAGCGGATGATTAATAATTCGCCAGCGGAACCGGTAAGTTCGAAGTTTCCGGATCGATCTACGGAGAATTATCGGGACAGAACCTCCGCTCCGTTCTGCTCTGCTGTGCTCAGCGGGCGGACGGATCTTTGGATGTGTCGCGAAAAACGCCGATATATTATCGCGGAAATTGCCGGGCTGACGGGATGACATTTTTGCGCGGATCGATCGAAGTGCATCCCGCAAGAAATGAATGAGGCGAGAGGAACCGACGGGGGGATTCATCTCGCGAGATTACGAATTCTTAATCTTTCACATCGGGGATTAGCCTCGCGCCGTCGATCGCTGAACCCTCTTCCTCTGTGTTTCCCTGTCGTCACCTCGTCGTTTTAATTAACCGACAAGCCGAGGATACACGGCAAACACAGCGATACCGAAAGAATGAACAGGAATCCACTGATTTCGAAGAAGAAATACTTAAAAGAAAGAGGAAGAGAGAGAGAGAGAGAGAGAGAAGAATGTTTGTGGAAGAAGGATTTCTTTTTCCTTATTCGTTCTGATTTTCGTACAAATTGGATTTCAAAGAGAAACGTATTATTCCAAACGTTGATTAAAACCCTCATCATCGAATTACTCATTATCACATCATTCCACTTACATTCTGTATGCCGCGTGTGTTTTTAAGCGTATGCTAATATTATTGCTAATTTCATAACGGTGTGCTTTAAAATAATTGGTATTTTAATGTACCTTAATTACGGAGCGTGAAACAATTACGTGCGATTTCATCGCGAGGTAATGTGCAAGCGCGCGCGAGATATTATGATTATCTAATCCGCACGAAAGTATTAGGTTCAAGCGAGCGATTAAAACAGCAAGGGAGAGACCACTAGCATACACCGCTCATCCGGAACAACCAGAGCCGACTGGGATCGTGAGGGTCTGTCATGTGAACTGCTCCGACAACATATGCTTGAATTCTCACGAGTATTTGGCGCGTCATCGGAATCAGTGCCTCTGAGACCCGTATTAATAATTGTCACCTGAAGCTTGTCTCATGCGAGACACCCGGAATTCTCTTCGGAGCAAGATCCAAATTTTTCAGTTGATATACGTTCACGTGAATAGCTCATATTAACAGTCGTTACTTGAAACTTACCCCACGTGAGGTACTCAGATCTGAATTTAGAGTCAGATTTGAGTTCTTCATTCGAATCATTATGATATATGCGACATTACATTTGTAATCGTTGCTGCTCAGCTGAAAAACTCACATCCAAGTTCAAATCACACCTGAGTATCTCACCTAAGGCTAGTTTCAAATAACTATTAATGCGGGTCTAAATCTGGTAATTGCGATTCATCTGAAGAATGTAATGTAATTCTTAATACAAGTCTGAGTATCCCAATTAGAGACGTGTTTCAAGTGATAACTGCTAATACGGGCCTGAAAGCCGCGTTGCTCGGCGCGGATGATCCGCGAGGCGCACCACACGTTATCCCGTCCTTACCGGGCTGGTATCATCCGTTCGGCCTAATCATCGAGCGGAACCATCGCGCGCACATTCGAAGGGAGCATGCTGGTGAACGTGGTGGGCGACGCACCGTGACGAGAGCCGAACGCAACAACGAATCCAACTGTTCGGTCTAGCTTCGTCTGCCCGCACGCCGAATCACATAGTCCATCCCGGATAGCTCACTTCTCCGGCGCGTCTCAGAGTCGAACGACTTCCGCCGAGTGAGTCCGGGCGAATTCGACTCTACCGTTCCTCCGGCACCACACGCACCAGCACGACGTGTTTCGATCCATCCAACGCGTCTCGCCAAGGGTTCCCGGCGACGCGACGCGACGTCGCTTGGGAACGCTCCGGCTCCCGGACAGACGCGCTCCTGAGCCGTTCGCGCGAGCCGTTATCAACGTGGAAACGAGCTCGTCGAGTTTCAAATCGACATCCCGCACAACCGTCGCGAGAGTCTGGCCTGACCAGCGAAGACAGCGAACTACTACCAAACTGCCGTACCGCCACCAACCGCCGACCGACTGTGACCAAACCCGAACCAACAACCAACCTCCAGAACGACCCGCACCCTCAGTGTGCGCGATCGACTGTCTGTCCCGGGCTCTACTAACGCGCGAGGGCCAGCCGTGCGACCTCCGTGGAGGTGGCGATGCTGGTGCTGCTGCTGCTGCTGCTGCTGCTGCTGCTGCTGCTCATGGTGGCGATGGTGGTGGTGGTGGTGGTGGTGGTGG